CTTTCCAACCCACCTCCCACAACCTCCTAAACAAAGGCTGGCACAAGTGTAGTTCCCTCTGTCCTTCCTCCGTCTTTGCTCCGGCTGTTCCCTCTCCCTGGAGTGTCCTTTCCCTCCACTTCCTGGTGTTCATAACCTACTCATCTTTGAAGCCCAGGTAAAAAAATCACATCTTTCTTTCCCTGACCTGGACGTAAGTACTCAGCCACCTGAATTCCTGTAGCACACTCACCTCCCCGCTTTAGGGAGGGCATCACTTTCTCCTCGTATCATAGTCACGTGTGCCCACTGCTACCGAGAACCCCACTATCAGCTCTCGGAAGGCAGGATGCCCAACGGGTACATCTTTGTGTCCTACTCAGGGTTGGCTCAGCTTCTGGCTTATGAACCGGATGGATGGATGGATGGATGGATGGATGGATGGATGGATGGATGGAATATGTCAGAACCCATTTATCCCTGGAAAGGTCTATATGCAAGGCCTCACCCCCTCATTCTTTCAGCAAACATGAATTGAGTGCCTCCTGTGTGCCCATTGCTGGAACTGGCCATGGTAACTTAGACAGTTCCTGCCCTCTTGACGTTTTAGTCTAGGGGAGGAGACAGACAAACCAGTCAAATAAACAAGCCATTGCCAATTATGATAAATGATGTCAAGGAAAATGCAGGGGACTGTGATGGAGGCTAGAGGAGGAGAAACCTTCTTGGAGAAGAGACATTTGAGCCTAGTCCAGGTGAAAAGGAACAGCGTGTGAAAAGGGAGGGGATGAGAGCTCCAGGAGAGCAAAGGGCCAAAGGGCACACACGGTCCCAGTGGTCAAGGAGCTGGAAGGAGGCCGGGGCTGGTGCAGAGTGAGCGGGGGGGAGGGGTAGGCAGGGGCTGGATCATAAGGCATTTGTTTAGGTTTTATTCTAAGTGCGACAGGAAGTTACTGGAGAAATTTAAGCAGGAGGAGCATGATTCATTTCTTGTTTTTAAAAGGTCATCGGTGGCTTTGTGGGACTGATTTGGAGGGGACAGGACAAACCAGTTAGCAGGAAATAGGCTATTGCAAGAGATTACTGTGATAGGGACCAGGGGGAAAAGGTGAGGTTAGGGATATTTTGGAGATGGTATTAGCAGAACTTTGGACAGACTGAATATAGAAGATGAAGGGAAAAAAGAGAATTCAAAGAGGCACCCCGAATTTTGACTTGAGTACCTGATGGATGGTGATGCCATTTCCTGGGCTGAGGAAGACTGTGGGTGGAATAGACTATGGGAAGAACACAAGTGTGTCATTCCAGACATGGCAGGTTGGGGTGCCTGTTAGCTACCCACATGGAGCGGTCTGGTAGCCAGTAGAATGTATCAGTGTGGAGTTCGAACGGGAAGTTTCTCATGTTCCTGTAACATTATTTACAGTCACAGGAATGCCATCCAGAGCCAGACTGAGTCTTGAGAAACTTGAGATATTGGGGAGAGAAAGAGGGATGAGCACAGGAAATGGAGAGGGAACAGCCAGAGAGGCGGGAGGGAAACCATGGGTGTGCTCTCATGGAGGCCGAGAGAGCAGAGCATTCCAGAAGGGGGCTGCGGCCAACTGGGTTGAATGCTCCTGAGAGGCTGAGGAAGGTGAAGACAGAAACGTGTTCAGCAGACTTGGCACCGGGGACGGTGCTAGTGACTTGACAAAAGCCGCGTCGGTTGAGTTGGGGAAAAGGAAGCCAGGTTGGAAGGGGTTGGAGAGCCAATGAAAGGTAAAGAAGGAGAGACAGCTGGTGTAGACACTTTCCAAGAAGCTGGTTTGTAAAGAGGAAGAGAAAAATAGGGCAACCGATGAGGGAGGTGGGAGGCCAGGAGGGTAGTTTTTGTCACGGCTGCCATTGTTTTGAAGGAGGGAGTCGCTGATGGTGGTAGAGAGGTGACAGGTAGAGAGTAAGGTCTTGGGAAGGGAAGACGGGTGGGCCTGAGCCCAAGTGGAAGGCCTGGCTGGCTTGGGCGGAGGAAGAAGGGGTGGGGCAGCGAAGGTGGGTCACCCATTGGACTGTGTGATGACTCCTGTGTTCTCTCCATGAAGACTCGAGGCCAAGTCACCAGCCGGGAGCATCATGGGGAGGGAGCGGGAGGTTTGAGGAAAGAAGAGAAGACGTGAAATGGTTGTTCCCCGAACATGGAAAAGTGAGGCTACCAGGGAAACCTGCGCTCACAGGGCAGAGTGGAGGGCACACCTGGAGTCTGTGGCCACGAAGTCAGCGTGAGGCCAGCCAGCGCCTGCCTTTGCTCCAGCAATGTCCTGCTGCCCAGGGGCTGACTCAGGACAGCAGGGCTGGGACAGGCGGCTGGGGCTTCCCCAGGCGAGTGGGATGGAAGGACAGAGGAGGCAGGGGTTGGGGGTGCTTTCTAGGGCAGGATTGTGATGATGGCTCTTGTAACTGAGAGTGGAAAAGGAGGGAAGTAAAGTGAGGGATCTGGTGGAGAGGGAGGAGGTGCAGGGTGGAAGGACTGAAGGCTCGGAGAAAGGGGCTAAGGTGGAGCATTCCTGGAACTCATTCATTCATTCGATAAACTTTTACTGAGCATTAGGCACACTGCTGGCACAAAGGATTGATCCTCTCAGCCGGGGTGCTCAAGGAGGGCTTCCTGGAGGCAGTGTTTTTTGTGTAGGTTGAGTCTGGAAGGGTAAATTAAAGCTCCCCAGGAAGACAACAAAGAGGGGGTACTCCAGGAGGCAAACAGACCATAAGCAAAGGCATGGGTGGGATGGGACTAGCTTGGTCCATTTGTAAAAAGGGAGGTAGCATGGCCAGAGGGTGGGAAGGGGTTGCTGGCAAGGTAGGGATCGGATCATGGAAGGCCTCAGGAAGGCCACGTGGAGGAGTGTGGACACACTATTAAGCAGTGGGAAGCAGGGGGGTGACATGATCTGTGACTTGACAGGTGTGGGGCCATCAGGGGCGTGGGAACAGATTTGGTAAAACTATAGAGACCACAGAAGGAAGGTGAGTGGTGGTCCTGCCTGTGCCAGAGGAGACCAGGGGAGAGGTTCGTGCTGTGCTTGGGCTATAGACCAGGGCCTGGAGGAGCAGCATCTCCCAGGAGCAGGAAGGAGGGGCTCACAGAGGGGAGGGAGAGTGGCCAGAGGGGCAGCCTGGTTCTTCTCTCGGTGCCAGTGTGAGGTGCTGGAGGGAGGGCGAGTTGAGCGGAAACCACCGGGGCTGTCCGCTGGGGGCCTCTGTTGACTCTGGTGAGTGTAGTTCCAAGTGCTGGGGCTGGAGCCCGCCTGGCATCTGTGGTCCCGCTTGGGTTCTGTGGAGGAGAGTGGGCAGCATAGCCCAGGGGACTGTTGCCAAGCGGGGCCTGTGAACTGGGAGGGTGCCCAGCAGCCGTGGGGTCCCTCCAGGGTCACCTGGCAGGTCAGCATCCTCTGTACGGGTGTGTATGTGGGATTGGTGATGGAGCTGAAGGCGGGAAGGCGTGTGCTAAGTGGCAGGGTACAAACTATGGGGACCCTGGGAGGGGGTTTCGGGCTGGGTGTGTGTGCGTGTGTGTGAACGCGTGCTCACGCATCCACACTCCCACGCACACGATGGGGCCAATGAGCAGCTGGGGGACAGGGTGGGCAGGAATGAGCAGAGTCATCCCCGCGGAAACTCGACTCCCTGGGTGATGACGGTGGGGAGCAGCTGGCAGCCAGGCAGGGGCGTGGTCAGCTGTGCCCAATGGCTCCCGCAGCTCCCTGGGCCGCCCGCCCCACCTGTTGACTAAGCTTGAGGAGGTGCCCGCACTGGCTGGGGCTTGTGGGCCCACTGTGAGAAGGCTGCCACCCTCCAGTGTAGCTCTGGTTGGCTCTAGAGGGTCTGCCTGTGTGGGCCCCGTGGTGGCTACACGTGACCAGGCTGCAGTGGTCTCCCTGTGCCTGCCTGTTGATGCGGGTTCTTCCCCAGGGCCTCTGAGATAAGTGACCCGCTGCCTCCCTCCCTCAGGGAACAGGCTCAGAACGGCTGGGCAGGGGCCAGAAGAGGCCAAGGGACTGGCCCAGGAGACATAGTCCACACTGTGCTCACGGGCCTCTAAAGCTGCTGGTGGGTGCCCCTTTATGCACCCAGTTCATATAGGGACCATCAGCCAAAAACAGTCCCTGGGAGCTCTAGCCCCGCCCCCCACTGAAACTGTCCATCTTCCTGTGCCCATGACCTTTCTCCGCTTAGCATCTGCAGCCCCTAGACACATGCCTACACCCTCCTTCTCCATCTCCCCTGCCTGCCTTGGGGTTTGACCCACAGGTCCCATAGGAGGGAGCTGGTGGGACCCTCTGCGGGGCCTAGGGCCCTTCCTTCTCTCCCCTCACAGCCCAATATCACACTTCCCCTAAGCTCAAGGCAGGACACTCCACACCCCCAATCTTTCCCCTCCCTCCAGGCCAGGGCTGGCAAATACATTCTCCTTCCTCTGCCCCCGGCAGACAGGAATCAGTCACAGCAGTCTTTTTGCACTGAGTCCAGCTGCAACCTCCGATGGTCTCTGTTCACATCAGGGGGTCAATAGCAGCCAATCTAGCTTGGCCCTCAAGGTGAAATCCATCTGCCATTCCTGCCTAAGGCTGAGCCCACCAGGCCCTCACCTTAGCCCATTCTCTGGGCCCACAGGCACATCTCACATCTGACTCCTTCCTGCCCCACGCTGGGATGGAGCCACGTGGGCCTATTAGCTCATTGTGATTCTCTCTCTCCTTGCAGGCTGAAGCCACATCGTTCCTGGAGCTCAGGCCCAAGAGGCATTTGAGGGCACTGGGGCATTGACCCCAAGTCCCCAAGGCCGAAGAGGATCCGGTTGGTTTGTCACCGGTCCTGAGGGCAGCCAACCCCAGCTGGGGAGAATGTGGTGCGGGGCTCAGGGGTGATGCTCCTGTGCCCAATACCATTAGAGCAGCAGCACCCAGGCCTTGCAGGCACAGCTCGCAATCCCCACAGCATCTGCACCCTTGCCTTCCCAGCCTGGCCCGTGGGCGGGTGGCCGCCCAGCACTTGGGGGGCTGCACGCTACAGCTGCCCTGGTGGCCCGCCTCCCTCCTGGCCCCTGAGCCCAGGATGCAAGGATGGCCCGCCCGTCTCTGCCCACCGTGGTGCCCGTGGGCCCCCACAGCCTGCGCCCCTTCACCCAGGAGTCCCTGGCAGCCATAGAACAGCGGGCGGTGGAGGAGGCCGCCCGGCAGCAGCGCAACAAGGAGATGGAGATCGACGAGCCCGAACGGAAGCCGCGAAGCGACCTGGAGGCTGGCAAGAGCCTGCCCCTTATCTATGGGGACCCCCCGCCGGAGGTCATCGGCATCCCCTTGGAGGACCTGGACCCCTACTACAGTGACAAGAAGGTTGGGGCCTGGGAGGGTTCCCTCCGCCTGTCTGAGCCGCCCTCCTGCGTCCCCGTGTCCGGGCCTCACAGCTCTCTCCCCGCAGACCTTCATCGTGCTCAACAAGGGCAAGGCGATCTTCCGCTTCTCCGCCACACCCGCCCTCTACCTGCTGAGCCCCTTCAACATCGTCAGGCGAGGCGCCATCAAGGTGCTCATCCACTCATATCCTGCCCGAGCGGGGGAGCACGGGGCCGGGGAGAGGTGGGGCGGCGTAGGGACAAGCAAAGCGGGGTGCTCGGAGCCAGGAGGCCCTCTGTCCACCTCCCCTCCCCACCTGCTCCCTCACTTTCCTTGACCCTCCCCCAACGCTGTTCAGCATGTTCATCATGATCACCATCCTGACCAACTGCGTGTTCATGACCATGAGTGAGCCGCCCCCCTGGTCCAAGAACGTGGAGTAAGTCTCTCTTCCCCTCCCCCCCCC